TAGACTCACATTAATCACTCAGACGCAGAGTGTGGGAAATAACGCCTCGAGTAGCACAGATGGGGTGGCCAAGGTCGAGTGAAATACTTCAACCGGGGCGTTAGCAGATGGATTCTACGGGGCAAGAGGGAGACTCTTATAAGACTTAGGGAAGGAGGACTGTGTAGCAATATAGCAGAATTTGATCCACATTCCCAGCACAAGGGTGAAAGGGGGGGGTGAGAACGCCAGTGTGAAGTGTGAAGGGGTCTCATAAATGCCGCTCAAAAGGGCACACCATAACACATCTAAATAAGCACGGTAAAAAGTTGTAACAATGTAGGCGTGATACGAGAATATAGAAAATGTGAATAGCACAGGGCTGAATGAGAGATACCACAATTGTTTAGAACACGTTTCGTTAAAGGATAGGTTTCACTTGTCTCTTTGACGAGTTGTAGTGTGGTGCTAAAAATGGCAAGACTCATTGACGATGCCGGCGAATCATCTGGGAATGTACCACGTCCACGGTCCGACTTTGAAAATAATCATGCATACAATGGACTCAGGATTAGGTGTGCTCCTCTAAGTTTTCCTAACAATACGACCAAGTTGCGAAAACAAGGTCAAAGAACCTATATACAACGAAAGGAGACTGCGACCACACAAAAGGCCATATCATCTTGATCTTCATATCTTAAACACTAATTAATTTACAAATATCCCGCCTATAAGTACTGACTATTGCAATTGGCGAGGCCAGATCACATCCAGCGAACTCTTGTGCTCCATTAATGGACTAGTACGGAATAAAAAGTCATTTGAAAAATGATCTGAAAAACATTAGAACCTATAGATTACAAAATAAACTGAAAATTCCATAAAAAGTACCTTAGATATCTCATACTGAGTGGCGTAAAGTAAAAGTACGAGACCAGTAACAAGCCCTGATTGCTGCATAGGTGCATGGTTGTCCAGGTTGAGGGCTAGGTTACGAATAAGCCCAACCATTGCCTTAATCAGGCTCCAAGAGGAACCTAGGCTGGTGAAGCTAGGCGTTGGTCCCTGGGGAGGTACTGGATATATCTGCTGATGTTGTGGCAGCAGAGGCTGGTGATGGTGATGATGATGATGTGCGTGTGATTGAATGGTGGATGTGCTTGTTGAAGAGGATAAATGGGGCCCGGTTCCAAGAGTAAGAGGCCCTCCAGTTGCCTGTGATCCAGGACCATGTATATCTGATTCCAATGACTGTAGTTGGAGCTGTCCGGGCCCCAGACTTGAGGATACTCCGCTTGAGTGGCCAGTGTAAGCAGCAAGGCCAGGGGATACAGAAAGTCCGAGTTCAGGACAGACGGAAGCGGTGGCTGCGTGTAGGTGACGCGCAAGCACCGGCAAGCAAATTAGCTGGCGCACGAGGATAGAACGAGCGCGTTCCTCTTCCTCATGCCTACTGGTAAGGTGGCGCAGAGCACAGATGCAAGGTTCCAAAGCGTCCTCACGAAAGGCAGCTGGGCCAGTGCTGATCGCATGAACTAATGCATCAAGTCCACCAATCTTTTGGCAAGAAAAAAGCATAAAAAGGATTAATTCAATCTAAAATTGAATAAAATAAAGATTGTATAGGTCTTTACATATTTGGCCAGAGGCTTAGTAATAAACACATGTAAGAATGTTAAAATTTTCAGTGACATTACCTATAAAGAGTATATAGTACAAAAATTTGCGACGAAACTTAAGGCATAAAAAATAATCGTAACGTTGACCTTACTTTTGATACCTCAGAAAATTTATCCCGAGAAATAAGGAAATATCAAAGGTATTCGGGTGAAGGGATAATAAATAAAAATATAACAGAGATCAAAGGAAATGTAGGAAATATCCACCATCGATAGATATGCTTAAAGCTGAGAATCATCCAAGACAAATAGAAGTGGGTTGACCTCGTTGTCGCAACTTGGTCTTGTTCTCAGGGAGACCATGTAGAACGCACCTAGTCTTTGGGTTGATCTCGTTGTCGCAACTTGGTCTTGTTGTCAAGATGACTTAGTAGAACGCACCTAGTCCGAATTCGTCTGACCTCGTTGTCGCAACTTGGTCTTGTTGTCAGGACGACTTAGTAGAACGCATCTAGTCCGAAGTCGTCTAGAGTCGTTGTCGCAACTTGGTCTTGTTGTCAGGGCGACTCATAGTAGTTGTCATGATTCCCAGCATCTGACCGTGGACTTGATACATTCTCAGACGTTTCGCCGGCATCATCAATGAGCCTTGCCATTCTCCGCACAAAGATACGAACTCGTCAAAGAGACAAGTGAAGTCAATCCATCGACAACCGTTCTGCTGGAAACGGTTACGCTAACACTGCTCTTTCTGTCCTCGCCCATTTATCTACTCTTGTCTCTTTGACGAGTTCGTATCTTGGTGCGGAGAATGGCAAGGCTCACTGATGATCCCGACTACGATGCCGGCGAAAT